GGATCTGCACATTTTTATTAGTGCAATGACAAGTGTGGTTGTGAAGGGAGAAGGAGTAGCAAGTGATGCTTCTGTAAGTTGCTGTGGATGGAGAATGTGGTTTTTGCTGAAGCACTTCCCAAAACTTCTGTCCTGTGGAATTGAAGGAGTCTGGAGCAAGAGCTGGGGGCCTCTGTGGGAGGCTGCAGCCCACCTGCAGCACAGCAGCACAGTGTGGATATTTGTGAGAGGACTGGGGAGCAAGGGGCAATAAACAGGAAGGAGCTCAGGAAATCAAGTGAATAACATCAAATTCAGCTGCCACATGCCATGACAGAAGATACAGGGGCTGTGGTGCTAAGCAGAGTTACATAAATGATTACACAACATGGCTGTGACAAGAGCCTAGGGACACTCTAAAGGGACTGACACACAGACAAGGCCAGGAAACCAACAGCAAGGGCATCTCGTCTTGCCAAGGTTTCTTTAATAAAAAATTAGAGAAATGCCCACACAAATTACAGCCAATCCCACTGCCAGGGCAGACCATTCAGTCAAAATGACTTCTAGAGTGGCTAAATAATGAAAGAAGCCACTAGGTCGGGGGTAGCAGTGAGGCACATCATTATACACCTGATGTCACATCTCCCTGTGTGGTGACAGATGACATCCCCTCCCTCTGGGCACCACCACGGGCCACAGGTCTCACTCAGCCACACCTGGATGTGCACCCTGCACCTGGTCCTCATCCCTTGGGCTTCAGAGGGTTTTCTTCTGGCACCAGAACCTCCATCCTCTGGGCTCAGCAGCCTCCTGCCATCCTAACCCTCCTTTCTTGTGACATGGGACTCAATTTAAATTTCAAACAAATCCATTGTCTCTGGGTCCAAAAGGCTGAAGCAGAGCTCCTGTTCTGCTGCACCCATTACAGGTTATACAACACCCTGAGTTTAATCCCCCAGCCTGCTTTTCAGATACACTGACCCCACATCTTTGCAGAGAGCAGGGCACTCACAGAGCCCTCAGCTGCAGTGGGAGCTCCAACATTCACACCATTTGAAACAGAACCAGGAGAATTATCTCAGACAGAAAAACCAGATCTCTTGTGCTGACAGAATAAACACATTTGGGGTCTGACTTTGCCAACATCTCTCCTTTCTCTAACAACTCCTGGAGTGGATCTGCTCACATGTAAGAGGTACCCAACACTTCACATTGCAAGAAGCCACTTCCAGCTGCTTATGTTTTAGCAACTTTCTTTTTTTAAAGTAAATATTAATTTAAACTGAAGCACCCAGCATTCCTATTCCTTCCTGGGAGCCTTGCATTAGGTCTGGTGCTTTCTCTGTGTGACAGAGAAATTAAGTGCCAGCATGTCAGCCCTCCATATGCCAGAGGTAAAGTTCCTCCTGTCAGAGGGGTACAGGGTGAAACAGAAGGCCTGGAACCAATCTAGCAGCTGATGGATTTGTCATTTAGGAAGGGTAGAAGAATGGAAATCCTTTTAGGAGCCTCCTTCATGGTCAGGGAGCTCAGCAGAGGCAGATGCAGTTCCTGGAGCTGGCCTTGAGCAGTCACTGGACACCTGGACGTGCTGCCATTGACTGAAATAATACCCAGATGAAAACTCCCAACTCCCTGGGTCTCTGGCACAGGGTGGGATGTACCTGGTGCTCCATGACCACTGTGCTTAGAGCTCTTGCAACTGAGCACCTAAAGCTAAATATGCCCCTGAAATCCACTAGAAAAAATGTGTTGGTCCTATGGGTAAACAATGCTCTGAAAGAACGGAAATAATAAGATTAACAGGATGAATATTCAGCATTCTGAGTGAGGATCCTTTGAAATCCACTAGAGACAGAGGGAAAAGCATTTCAGTACACCAGCTTTCACCACGTTTCACTGTGTAATTCCATGAATTTCTGTCTCTCCTTAATTTCAGGAAGACAATTCAGTAGCCTCTGGCTTCTATATTCTTTATTTTCTCATCTATTGACTAGCAGAGGCAGAAAAATAAACACACAACTAGGAGCTGTATTCACAGACAGGAAGTAACTTTAATTAAATATTGTGAAAGTTGAAAAGTTTTTACAGCTTGAATTTCTGCAAAAAAATTATAACAATCTCTACAGTAGTTAGTTTCTCTAACAATAGAACTGTACAGTGTGTGTGTCTATTCAAAAAGATTTAGATAAGAAGGTGAAAGGTTAGTAGTTTCAGAGATGACTTCATTTTAGCTGCATCCTAGTACAACTGTGAGGAAATAGGCATTACTTTATGCAATCCAGTCATTGTGAAGCTTCACCTTGTTAAAACTGAAATCTGAATGTTTCCACTTAAAGCCATATTCTGTAAACAGCTGCATCTTTTACTTTGTAAAAGACAAAGGGTGGTGCGGGGGAGATTTTTGTCAAATTCCCATTCATCAGATCACAATAAATAGCTGCAAAAGAATGTAATTATGCACATTGTCAAAGGCTCTTTGGACACTGGAGTAGAGACAACAAATGTGGCTAAAGTGGTGTCAGAACTGCTAGGACTGAGTGGAGCTCTACAAGAGTAATCAACGGTGTCACTGGACAAAATATGGCTTTAAATTTGATTACATTGTCGTGCTGTTGCTTATTATGTGAATTAGAATAATCACTTGGAATACAGAGAAGCAATAAACTGATGTCTCTCACATTTTTTCCAGTTTTCTCTTCTTTTATTTTCTCACCATGAAAAAAAAAAAATCCTGTTTTTCTTTCCCTTCCCCCCAAAGATCACACTGTGACATTCTAGTGAAAACCATTGCAAAATTCATACAGGAAGCATGCACAGTTGCAGCATCGTTGTAAATGATTTCTTGCTCGACTAGAAAAAAGTTATATTGTTTTAAGGTAACAAAACAGTTCTTTTGTGCTTTTCAATTCCTTTTTTTTTTTTCTTAGAATGTTAGTGATGATTGACAGTTCTGGTGCACAGTACAATGTACAAGTGAAATGAATATGATTTGCATTGTTAAGGCATCCAATCTGCTGGTTTATATTTATGTGAAAGACAGAGAAATATACAAGCAGACTTAAGAAAGAAAGTATTTTCATTGAGTTCTATGAAGTTTCTCCCCATATTTAATGCACAAAAATGCGTCACTCCAAAGAGGAGAAATCCCATGCATATTAATAGAGTAAAACAGCATTAGTTTTTGTTAAGCCTCAAAAGCAAAGGATACATTTTTTTTAAATCTACGTAACTAAATGCTACAAGAATAATATGCTACTTTTTGCCATATATTGGAAAAAACTTCTTAACTTACAAATAATACAAAAATAGACAATGGCTTTTGGGTGGAAATTAAAAAAAAATGGAAGCATGGTTTTAAACAATACTAAAAAAAACAACCCTATAAATGAAATGTATTAAAATCACATTTAAACAGCTAATACAACGGTGAATGACCAAACAAATCAGCACTTTTCACATAGCAAACATACACAATAAAATAAACTTGTGGGGGACAAAAAGCAATGTACAAATTCCAAAGATAAATACATTATTTATATGGATATTTTACAAAATCCCCCGTAAAACAAACAAACAAAAAACAGAAACAAAAAGCTTTTTTTTTCTTTAATTAATTTGCAAGTATGTGCAAGCTAAAGGTAGTGAGCTCTTTTTGCAAAATATGCAGTAAAATTCTTTTTTTTTTCTTTTTTGTGATATTGAAAAACTGTCTTAAGACATTAAAATGTATAAATAGAACAACAACTTTGGCAAAAAATCACAAAAAATCTACAGTATTTATAACTACATACAAAAACACAACAGCAAAGAAAAAATATCAGGTAATGCATCTTCAGAGCTTTGCTGCCTCTTTGACTAATAATTTTTAAGAACACTTCCCAGATAATGATAGCAAAATCTTTTGTGGTGAAACAGGAGCTATGGTTTTGATTGGAAAGGCCCACCCCAAAGTCACCATTCACTGCTGCCGAGCAGAGCCCTGTGCTGGAGGGAGCGCGTTCGGACCGGGAGGGTCGGCCCCAGTGGGAGCTGGGCCACCAGGGGTTCGGGGTGGGGAGGCTGAGCCCCTGCCCCAGCAGGGCAGGCAGGGGGACAGGGGCCAGGCTGGCACCCAGGAGGGCCCAGGCTGTGCCCCCCGTGGCACAGGGCAGAGCCCCCAGGCTGTGCTTGGGAAGGGAGCGCGGGGAGGATCGGAGATTTCACCCAAAGGAGAGGGGTCCGTGCTCACCTCCTGGTGCTGGGTTTGCTCTGCCAGAGGAAACTTTTCTGATATTTCCACCCTTCCCTCCCTCCCCTTCCCTTCCCTTCCCTTCCCTTCCACCAGCTTTATGCCAAGAAAAGTTGGACCTTAATGTCCCCTTCCAACCTGGTGTTCTGGGATGAACTTTTCCTGTTGTGTTATTTACACGATTTTTCAGCCTGATATTAATGACAGAGGTTACTAATCCCACCCCTCACCCCACCCTCATAATCCAAAAATATCAGCTTTTTAGGGAGTGATATCTTTTTAATCAGAACATTAAAAATGCTTCATATCAGCAAGTCACCACTGGATAAGCAATGTATATGAGCCGACCCTTAATTAAATGGCCATAATTCTTCTATGAAAAACTAACTGGCACTTCTATTCTGTCCCATACAGGCTTGTATGTAAATGACACCACTTTATTCTTCTTTACACAGCTTTAAAAAAAAAAATCATAAATTAAAAATGTGGAGTTCCATCTCTAGTGTCCCTTGTGTAATTGTATGATTTATAAAAGACAAATGGTGTTGAGTTAAATCAAGCCTTAAAAAAAAACCCACAAGAAACCAGAAGGAAATAAAAGCAAGCCCCCCACCCCCTAACAAAACAAAACAAAACAAAAAAGTGGATTTTTTTATCAACATACAATAAATATATCTCCCAGGTATTTGGGATGGACAACTCGAATCAACACCTTGCAATTGTGGATTGTTAATTTCAGTATTTGCAAGGATGGTGATTTTTGTTTTGTTTAAAAATCTGCAGTTATTGTAAGATCCTTCTTTATTTCTTTTTTTTATTTTTAAAAAGGCCTGAGTAAAAAGTTCCACTCTGGGACTTGTATCAGATTCTCTCTGAAGCAGAATTCAACCTCTTCATTAATAAAATTCTTCAAGGCAATTCTTTCACATGGGGGGAACAATCATGCCAGATATAGCTGTTGGAAGGAAAGGGAGGGGGGAGAGAGAGGGAGAGAGAGAGAGGGAAAAAGTTAATTTTCTGCATTATTAAGCAACTTTTAAAATTCCAGAGCTTTAAACATTTACTAGCAATGTAGTCAGATAAACTTTGAGTTAAATTTATATATATCACTCATAAGAGACAACTATGTACACAAGAATCATGAGAGGTTTCCTTTTGACTGGAAAATGATTCAAATTGAAAGTGACTTTGCTGAAATTACTGATTTTCTTGTAGAAAGTGTCCTTCCTCCATATCAGTATCAGACCTCAACTTATTTTTCTGCTTTTAGTTTCAAGATCCCCTGATGCTGAGGAAGCTTTGACTGGACCCAGCTATTACCACATGTTCTGTTACTCTTTTAGAAGCAAAGCAAGAATTTGCAGCAAATTAGGGAAAGCAGCTGGAGTCCCCCTGGCATGGCCCTGCAGGGCTGTCCCTTCAGTGGCACTCTGGGTCATTGCCCTGTGCCAGTCCTCCCAAAGGTCACCCCTGGGACTGAGGTTTGCATTTCCAGGAGCTCAGAAAGGGACTTAAACTCTCAAATTCAGTTTTGACATTGAAATTCATGCTTGACTCCTGGGTTAGCAGGCCAGCATCTTTCCTATTCCACTTGTAGCAGACACCACCAACTACATCAGGTGAGTCATAGGTGAATGTTAATTCAGGATGTTTTCTCTTTGGCTGGTTAAGTTGAATCATCAGCATTTCTTTATTATGCTTCCTACCTCATTTTCTGTGAAACCACCACCTCTCTTAGCAGACAGACATTTATGAAAATTCAACAGGGACAGTTTTGCACAGAAATTGACCTCCAGCTTGATCTCTCTCTATTATTTGGGGGCTCAGATCAAACACCCCCAGTGTCCCAGTGACAAACAATGAGCAGGCACATCATTACAGGGGAAAGTCATGGAAGTTTATGATGGGAACTGTAAAAACAATGTGTCTCTGAAATGCCAGTTGTACAGTTATTTGCCAAAAGGTAGAAAACAGATTCTCCTTCAGGTTGGCAGCACTTTCCAGGCCCATGATTTAAATGCTGCCTGCCATTCCAGACATCTGGACATGTAATTTCTTAAGGAAGGACTCAACCCCGTGACTGGTGCTGATTCATTGTGCTTTAATTACAGCTGCAATTATTTGATAAGAACAGAGCCAAAGTAAAAGACTCACAGATTTGGGGTTGGAGGGGGAGAGGAGGGAAATGTTTTCTCCACAAACACCACCATATGTGCAAGAATTACAAGTCTAATCAGCAAGGGGAGAACAGCTCGAGTAAACTGCACTGATTAAATGAAATAAAATGAGGGGAGAAGGAGAGAATGCAAAACACATCCAACATGTTTGCAACAGGCCACCCTCAGAGGTGGCACAGAGCAACAGCATTTCCATTATTGGGATTTATCGTGTGGAATCACTGTACTGATTGTGTCCCCCACATGAGGGCTCTTCAAGGAGCTAAGAGTGAGGATAAAAGGGATAGAAAGGTGAGTTAAGTTGCTTTAAGTCCTACAGAAGACATTTAGGTGAGAAGCATAGAGGGCTCTTTAGGACAAGGTGTTGCTTTCCTTTAGAAAAAGTACCTTTTCTTCAGAAAATGTCACGATACTATTCCAACACTGAAAGATTCATCAGAAGCAAATCAATTTCACCAATAATTAGTCAAGAATTGTGTCTCTTGGGACAGGACAGCTGTCTACCCTGGGTAGGAGCCCAAAAAAGGTGAGATAATTGCAATTCCTCTCTTCATGATTTAGACATTTCCCTGTGGTTACAGATCAGCCTTTTGCTGTTGGAAAGAAATGGCACAGAGGCAGATCTTAGCTCCTTTTTTCAAAGCATCATTGTTTTTGAAGAGCTCTGAAATTCTGAATTAAATTACAAGGCAAATGATATCTTTTCTGCCTAAAAGCTTTGATATTTCCATTCTTTCCAAGTCTTCATTTAGATCACTCCACTTTTATTCCATAAGTGCTACATCTAGTCATGCAAATTCTCCCAGCTGTAGCCTGTTATTGATCCTGAAAACAGAGATATCAGTGGGAAACAGTGTAGGTATGAGATCACACCACCTCCAAAAAGGGAGGGCAGGGAATACAAAAGCTCCCACCAATGGCCTTTATTTCTTCTATCATATACTAATTTGTATTTGCTGCCAGCAAATTACAGAAATAATGTATTTGGGGTTTTACAAAATTGCATGGCAAAGAGAACAACAGATAAGCCTGGCTGCTGTTTTAGTGAGTTCTGCTGATATCTAAGCCACATAAGGAAAGCTTGATTGCTTTCTGATGCATCCAGAAGCCCAAGAGAGATAAGACAGCCTCCTTATACATGGTTGTTTATTTAAGCATTAAGGCACAACAGGCAGTGCCTCTCTGAGTGATTATTACAAGCCTCAGGTGGTGTCAGGAGGCACAGGACCAAAGGCTGTGTGTCTTTAACTCACCAAGAAGTTCAGTGATGACCTAGAAATGAACCATCTCTTGGTGTCTCATTCCCATTATGAAAACTGAATTGCTAAACAAAAATTAGGGGAAATGCTCAGATCTGTGTGGTTTCTGGGCATTGCAGATGTGGAGGTGACATAATGAGGAGGCAATCAGACAGCTCCAGTTGTGCCCAGTGCTCTCGGCTCCTTCCATAATTGCTTTTCATAACTGAGTACTTGGAATCTGAGGATTCTGTGTCTTGTGAAAAGAGAAACAGTGCCTGAAAAAGCTTTCTCCTGTTACTTGTTTTTTCTCTCCATCCACAACAAGATGGGGACAAGGTGAAGAGAGGAAAAAAAACATTAACATGTTCAAAAGCTTTCTTTCTTTTTTTTAAGCTTTTTTTTTAATTTTTTTTTATTTCAGATGGAAAATATTATTAGCTGTTTCTTTTAAAACTTGAAGCATGTAAGCACTGCCGATTCTTTTAAATGTTCAAAACCAAATCTAAATGCTGTAGTTCACCTGAAAATTTCATTTTGTCTTATTCCTGACACAGTTTGTATTTCTAACAAAGTCCTAACTGAAGGTACCCAAGATCTGCTTATTAGTTCTTAGTAAATTTACAGTTTCTGCACAGTTTTTCTCTGTGTGTGTGCCCCTTGGAGGATTCCTCCTCCCAGTTCACCAGTGTAACATGAACTGAGGACAATGCTTTCCTTCAGGCACAATAGATCCAAGCTTTTATGAATGAATTCCTTCCATTCTGCTTGCATATAGATTTTTTTTTTGGCTGCTAATGGTGCTATCAGCATTTTGTCTTCAAGCCCAGTGTTCCTCTTTCCAGAGGCTGAGTGACATGGAGTTTATGCACCCATCCTGCTCTGCACACCTCCTTCTGAACCTGGCATAAAAAAGGATGGATTTTACTCCCCACTCGATGCCCTTTGGATAATTTGCACAGGCTCATGGAAAGGAAACAAATCTCAGGTCTGGAGGAAGCACAATGCACACCATGGAATATCTCCCACCCCTGGCAGCTGGAGGCAGCTGGCTGCATCTGCTTAAGGAAGCCCCTGGACCTAAGCAAGCATGAAAATGCCTCTCTCAGCACAGGGATGTGCAGTGAGGGAACCACACGGGGAGGTTTAGGCACAATGTTGTAAAACAGACTCAGCCAAACAATGGGATGGGCAGTGCTGGGCTTGCAGCACCCTCAGTTTGACAAGCTCTTGTCTGTCACTGCCTCGCCTGCACCAGCCCTTCAAATGGATTCAGATACTAATGCTGGAGAACTTGTAATGAGAGGGGAAGGGATGCAGAAGAGGAGCAGCCCCTTGACACCAGCAGTTCAATAGGCTTTCCAAAAGGCCCTGTGCCTTTTCTGGAATTAATTGGCACAGGAGTACATTAATCAGTGGAAACTAATGTTTGCCCTGGTGTGAGTTAAAGTGGAAAACGCTGCTGTTAGTTTGTAATGCATCTCCCATTTATGAAAGGGAAGGTTTGTGCCAAGCTCTGTAACGCTCTATTTGCTCTCAGTAGGATTTCTGCACAAGTGTACTATGACAAAGGACAAAAAGGAAGGGAAGATTGAGTGACGTACTTCAGGAGAAGGCCAGCCCCTGGAGAGACCCTGCAGTGGAGTACTTGCTAGAGTCCACAAAAGACTGGTCTGATAAAGGACGACAACAGGGAATAAGAGAGGAAAGAAAGAAAAAGGACGGTATTAGTAAGCTGAAATATTACTTGTGTTTATCAAAACAGTAGGTCTGTGCTTTAGAGGACACAGCCTCTCAGTTCAGCAGTATTAGCTGGGTTAGAGAGTGGGTGGTTGCCAAACACCTGCAGGCCACAAGGTGCAGGGGGGTGGAGTCAGTTACTCCCTACAGGAGGAAGCTTTAGGACAGAGCCCACCAGGGATCCCTCATTGCCTTCACTCCCCTGGGGCAGCTCGGAGGCACCAGGAGCTCACAGCTGGAGCAGCCACCTCCTGTGAGCCTGGCTTCCACCTACCTTGCAGGCTATTGCCATTGGTGCTGGTGCAGGTGGGAGGGGGGGAGGTCTGGGGTCTCACGACCGGCGCGAACGCACTCTTCTGCTTCACCGCTGAGACCATGTTGGCTGGTGAGAAAGAGAAAATCCCAGAGGAGCTGCTACAGTTGGAGGGGAGGCTCGTGGAGGAGGCCATCGTCGGACTTGATGGCACAACTGGAGGGAAGAAAGACACCCCCAAAAAGGGATTCCTTAGTACTCAGTAATAACAGGGTGCAGAATTAAGAGAATTCTCATTCCTGGATGCTCTCAATCTTTCTAGGGATGAACTGAGTGTTCAAAATGCAAATGTGCTACGTGGGAAGTTCAGTCTTTAAACACAGATATCCTTAAACCATCATTTTACTATAAAGTACAAAAAATATCTTTGGTTTATGTATTTATCATCAAGCTTTTAAACAAATTTCTTTTCATGAAAATAAAGCTAGCCACTTTAATATTCAGAAGGCACTGCAGGTTTCCCTTCTTATCCAACAACAACAACAAAAAAAAAAGGACCAAAAGTGTCATCCCATATTTCCATTCTTTGTCCTGTTTAGAAACCGCTTAGATACACAAGTGGGCTGTGAATAATTAGATATTATAGAGTAAAATTCTGATCATATGGGCTTTGAATTATTATTTTATTTGCATTTATGTAGATAAAAATCACCCTATTTAAGTTCTTATTTGAGAATCTGATATCATATTTGTTAACACTGAGGAAATCAATTAATGGAAATTAAATGTTCAAAGTTTCACAGTATGACAGATAAAATCTTAGTCTGAAGTCACTCTGTGTCTGGAAGTACTTGCTAAGGGAGAGCAATCAAAGCACCTAAATTGAATTGCTACTATACAGCAATTAGTTTATTGATTTAATTAAGAATGCCACCTTTTAATTTTCAGGTCATGATTGAAGCATTTTCTGATTCAATGGATTAGACATTAGCAGAATGACAGATCAACCAAGAAAACCTCCCAAAATATAAATAGAATAGAGAACCAGGGCTAGGAAGTGAAGTGCTATTCTAAAGAGGACTCCGTTCATAAATATGAAATAATACACTGCCACAGTATTTTAAATGCATTACTGGCATCTGCTTCCAAAAGGAGATGTCTCATCAATCATGTTATATTATGAATTCAGAGTGTGCAGATTCTGTGACAGTAAATCCAACTTAATAAGTAAGGTACTTTGTAACATTACATGTTACATTATTATTAGAGAACAAAAATAATCACTGGTTAGCAATTCCCAGGTTATAAGTACTAGTTATGTGGGTAAATAATTTGTTCTAAATTTGCAGCAGAGAAGCAGCCTTGGCGTTAATTATTTTATTCAGAGTTCCTATCCTCTTTTTTATTCTAATGCAGATCAAAATAATTCATTGCCGTGTTACACCATTAACTTCAGGTTTGCTGTGTAAACCTTGGCACCTCCAGCAGTCAGTTTGTCCTGTCCATGCTACAGTCCCAGCCTATAAATCTGTTTGTATGTCCAGACCTTCCATCCTGATTCTGCTGTCAGCTTCCTACAGATGTCAGTGGAATCCTTTGTGCCTCCTGAGCAATGTCAGAGGAATTGGGCAGGTTCTGCTCATTCAATTTCTCATGTGACCAGGGACTACTGAGCTCAGCTGCAGAAGGGATTCACTTTACCAATAGAAACGTATTTATATTTAAACAGCTTACTAAACCTTTAATATCAAAATGCAGAAAGTTAGTCCTGCACATAAATATTTCCATGACTGGGACTGTGGAACATAAGCTCTTCACACCATGGGATGTATCATTTGTATGACTCACATTTTTGTGGCATTCACTGTACTGACACTAAAACACAAAATCTAAGAGCCTTTGTCACATTTTACTGACTCAGTGAAGTCAAAATAATATTACTTAAAAAGCAAGTGGAATATAAACAATCAAGCTGAGGCCCAGTAGTAATTCATAATTTTTATAAAGGTTATAAACATATTATTTGCTCAGAACTTGAGGACAGTGTTTCCCATTAGAGTATAAGGTAAGTTATGAAACTATCAGACTAAATAATTATATATTACTCTTTGGAAGTTCTTTTAATGCTCCCAAATCAAAAATAACAATAATAATTATTAATAGTAATATTAAAACAGAGAGGAGAATTTCTGGCAACACTAAGGTCTTCAAAGTGCATCCAAGATCAGTGCCTTGGAGAGTAAAGACCAAGTTCTATTTCAAGCGCTCAAAATAGAAAATAAATATTGAGCATCAGAGAAAATCTACTGCCTCCTTCTAATGAAAATGTGCAAAATACAGAAAAGACATAAAATACTCACTGGCATAGGGAGAATTGGCAGCAGATCCATTCAGGAAGGTTGGAGAACCGCCTAAATTTGACATTCCAGCATTCCCATAGCCATTCATGCTTGTTGTGACAGAGTTGTAGTTTGTCTGCTGCGGGGTGGTGCTTGGCACGTAGCCATGAGGTGACACACTGCTGGAGTTGCGAGTGAAACCTTGTGTGGGGAGGGAACACAGGCAGAAATTGGAATTAGCCCCACAACAGCTTCCTACACAAACCAAGGGGGAGCCCAGTGCAGCCAGGGGGCACAGAGAGGGGCAGGACTGACCCCCAGCACCACCAGGTACCCAAACTGGGAGCCCTCCCTGCCCAGGCCGCTGCTGGAGGAGGGAGCCTGGAGCCTGCAGAGCTCCCCAGGCAAGCCAGGGATGCCCTGGAGCAAAGATCAGCTCGGGGTGTTGGAGGAGCACTCGCTCTGAAAGGGCTGCTTGTAGGAAATGGAGTAAACATGACCTACATTTTCAGAGTGAGGAGCACAGACCCACTCCAGGTATGTTAAAAGCACGTGATTGTTGTTAACTCTTTTCTGATGTCACTGTCATTTAACACACCTCAGATGCTCACTGCACACTTCAGGAAATGGAGTGTATTTCTCCAGCTTGTGGGATATCCTTTGTCTTTTTGCCTTGGTCTCATCATTGTGTTGGTGGGAAATGAGCATCAAATTTGACAGCAAGTTAAAATTTGAATCTCTACCTAATTCTGGAAATGACATTTTAGGAAACTCATATCCAAATGTTCATAAGGAAAGATTTGTTTCTAGAAGCCACAGAAATACAAAATATGCATCTCCACTCCTAGAAGAAAAATCACCAATTTTTCTTCCTAACACACAGCATAAAGTATTTCAATCTAAAAATAATTTTCTATTTTTTTATTGTAATGCAAAAAATTTTGTTTCTGCTCTTCTAGAAACAGCCTCATCCTTACACTTTCTCATTCAAATGTATTTTTAAGTTGGGTAATATATAGAGCTCAGCAAAGGAGAGGGCAAAATGCAAAGGGCTTCTACAAAAATATTCTTCACCTATTTTTTATTTTTAACTCTTATTTTAAACCAATACTGATTTTATACAAAGTGAAAAACACTTTATTTTAAAAACTGGAAAAACTCTGAAAAGCCTTTTTACATATTTGTATTCTTTGCTAATTGTAAAATTTATGAAAGTCTCAAACTGAAAAAAATACAGTTCTAATACCCTAACTCTTGCAAAACAAACCCAAATTAAATAGATAAACATTCAAGGGATAACTTCATATTATAAAGAAGTGCTACAAAAAGCCCAGACTGAGAGATCCATGCTCAGGAAAATATATAAGCAAGTACTTAATGTTAAGTACATGCTGAAGCTGATTAAAATTAGTGGGATTTAAACACAAATACAAGTGTTACTCTGAGCAGAATGAGAAGCTATTTAGAGACATGCAGAAGTGATTTTCCTGAGTTGGGGCAGCCCCATCCTGTGCCATTCCAAGGATCTGGGATGGGCTGCCCAGCCCTGCCTCTGCCACTGCCCTGCCCGTCCCCCTGACTTCTCTCAGAGAAGATCCACAGAGAGAGGAAGGTGAGGCTCGTGCTGACCCTGGTTGGTGGCTTGGGAGGCTTCAGAGACATTGACGGCGAGCTGGCCGCTGAAGGAGTTCACGCCCATCATTCCCGCGTGGACCGAGGTGTTGGCGAGGGCGGGGAGCTGGTTGTGGTTGCGGGGGACGCTGTAGAGCGCTTCAGCGATGTCTGCAGCTCTCTTCAGGATTATCTCCTGCAGGGTAAGGAAAAAAACATGCAAGAGTTACCAAAGAGACTCTGACAAACCTCTTCTTACAGACTCAAATGAAACAGTTCCCTGTCCAAAGGCTAAAAGGAGATGCTTTTCTTTCTAAACCAGCTGGCTGACAGAGAGCTCATGCTTACAGGATCTTCCTGTTAAATCCTGACATCTGTGGTAAGAGAGTTGGAAGTCCCAGTCCCAGTGGCCACATTTTGTATAAAAAGACCAACTGGCAGGATGGGGCTGGAGCCTGGACTTGCTCCACCTTAAAGCTCTCTTTAAGGGAAGAGGGAGAAGTCACTGGTGGCAAGACATAATGTACAACATTGCCCATACTATATAGGATCTGGTGAAAGTGGGCAGATGCCTCCATGGTGTTTTTACAAACACTAAATTCACACCCTTTAAAAAAGAAAAGAAGCAAACTAAACCCCACTCCAGATTTGGCATCGCCCTGTGCATTTATTCTTGTCTCCCACTGTAGCATCATATCCCTTTAGCCTTGATCTATCTATACATATAAGAAACAGCCATGATATAGAATTGCTGAAGTAGAATGCATTTACCTGGTTATTATGTGGCATACCATAGAGTGCTTCTACTAAATCAGCAGCCCTCTTAAGTATTACTTCCTGTCAATATAAAAACAGAAGCATTCTGCTGAGTTCAATAAACTCCTTGTGGGGAAAACAAATATTCTCTTCTATTAGGTGCACCATGTTTTGTAGTGGTTTTTTTTTCATTTTTTTCCTCCCACCAGGTAAACCTTAATTGTAACAAGTCTCAGCAACCACTGAATGGTGTTAAATCACTGGTTCATCCTATTCACACACACGCTTAATCAAGTCAAAAGGTGAGAATCATTGGTGCTGCAAAATAAAATACATCACTCAATTGTCTCTACCATCTGCACTATAAACCACTCATGGGTTTATTGCAGAATACAATCCTGAGGTCATTTACTAGATTACTGCAATCAATGTCATTCAGAGAATGTTATGAATCCCTTCAATGTGTTTATTTTATTCTTAATTACATGCTGCAGGAATTGTGACCTTACCCAGCAGGCCACATTCAGAAGATACCCAATCAGTCCCGTGCTACTGCAATGAAACCCTTTGGCTTCTCCACTTTGTGTCCTGGTACGAGGGGTCAGGGCAGGATCCACATGCATGGAATGATGCCCAAGAGGAAAACACATGCAGTGTGTGAGAGAACAGCCCAGGTCCATGCAGCGTTTCCTGGACATTTTCCTTGCATGGACAGCAGACTTTAAAACAGTCTGAGATTCAGTTCTCCATTTTGGGCAATTTTTTTCCCTCCATTTTCTTATTCGTTCCTTTTCATTTAATATTTCTTAGGGTATTTTCTACTGGTATTCAAGTAACAATAGCATTTCCTGTGTTCTTATATTTTACAGCATCCTGATGATAATCCTGATAGAAAATATAAAAATGCATTGCAGAATTAACCCAGAAGAATTTTTTTCCCTTATTATTTCATGGCATCTTTCAGAGCAGATTCCCAAATGCCCGATCAAAACCGGTCAGGAACATCCTTTGAGTAAAACAATGTATTTTTGTAGTTCCCAGCCCCTAAGTACTGCTCTAATATTCTAACATGACGCTATTCACCATGGCATATTGCTGCAAGCAGCTTACAAAAATAGTACCAGTTCTAAGCATTTTACAGTTTTCTACAAAGTTAAACTTTTAAACTTAAAATATTTTACACAATAGCCATATTTTATACCAAAAAGAAACAGTAATGCTCAATTTTCATATACTGTAGACTCTGATCAGAAAATAGAGATATAATTGCGTTCATTTTGCTGTCACCATAACCTCTTCAAAAATCCTTGAACAACTCTTCAAATGACAAGCTTTTAGATGCATATTAGCATTTTTTTCAATTTTAAATTCTCTATAATATAACATAAAATAGTTGTCATACTGCAGTAACTACTTATGACATATATAATGTCCTAAATTCAAAAATGAGATGGAGGATTTTTGTTCTCCCAGTAAACATTTAGGCTTGCCTTCTGCTGCACACACCCCTGTCTCAGAACACACATTTAAATTATTTTCCACATATGAAGTGAGATGTAATACATAATTGATGGATTTTTAAATCACTACGCTTGAAACAGATTCTGAGGACTTAAGTTGCTACAGCCTTTTTCTGTTGGTGGGTTTTGTTTGTTTCATTTGTTTGCTTGATTTTTAAGGTTGGGGTTGGTTTTGTGCTGCAGTTGTTGGTTTGGGGTGTTTTTTTTCCTTGTTTTTTGACCACAGCAGTGAGCAGTATAATCATGGACAGACAGACACAAACAGCATCCAGGTACAAACAATCCTCGCTCCTCTAAACTGAGGTGCCCTGTCTGCCTCATACTGAAGATACAAACTAGAGAAGAACAGAGACATTACTGAAAAACTGTTCTCTTTTTCATTCCATGATTTTAGATAGAAAATTACTGCACAGGTGTTTGACTTTGCAAAGCAGGATTTATTTCACTTCAGTTGAAATTGCTTGCAGTATATATTTCACTGATGGAAAATTAGAATGTGATACAGAGGCCGCAAACTGCTTTGGTATATTGTTAGCTTAAGCTGTCATTATGCCAAATTACTAAAAAAAAGAAAGTTTAAATAGTCATTTCTGCTCTACCTGACTAATCATAGTTATTTATATAATGCTGAGCTAAAAACCTTAGAGTGCATCTAAAAAGAGATTGAAAACCGTGTTAAAAATGAGGTAATTACATAGAATCTTACAGCTGCTCTCCCTCATATCAAATATATTTCAGTTCTTAAACACTGGAAGTTCTTTGATGCCATATCATATTGCATGTAAATAAAACTAATTGTCATGATAGCTTATTGAAACATTCTTGACAAGTAGCATTCAATTTTCTTAGCTAGTCAATGATTCTATTTTTTTTCCAACATTTTCAGGGTCTGTAAATTTGAGTTTCATACTTTCTCTACCTATATTTTCACACAAGAAAAGCATTTCTTGTTTATGACATTTTCAGATCATACAAAGTAGATGTTACAGAAAAACCGTCCTGCATCAAATAGTGGTATCTTCTATTCCAGAGCTGATGGTACTTTTTATATAGACAAACCAGCTTTAAAAACACACAACAAAATGCTGCTAAAATGAAGCTCAAGATATTAACTTCTTGTTTTCTGAATGCATCTTAAACCTTTTGCAGCTCTGCCTAAATTACAACAGAAGCTGCTCCACATACAAAGGAGCCCCTGAAGTCCTCTATGAGTTAGAGCAGCAGACCTTGCAAGGTGCTTGGATTGCGGTGACCAGAAAATTGTTCTCACCTCCGTGTCATTACGCTCACAGTGAAGCAGCCCCCGAGCATGTTTGTGTTGGGGATCTAATATATTGCCTTTCAATCAGAGCTGAGAGCCACTGAACACATAGACAGAACATGACGAGCAGGTCAGGAAAGCAATAAAGATTTTACAGAGCTGTCCAAGGTGCTAAATTTACTCAATAATGGGTTTGGCACCATAGTGTTAACCTCTCATTTACTACCAGTTTGAGGGACTAAATTGAAGTAGCTGACTTCATTTACCTTGAAATGTATATTTTATGACATTATGTAAGTAGATTGAAAGGGCACTGCAGTTTTAACAATTTAAAGGCTAGAGCATGTTTAAGATGAAGTTTGAATATTTATCGTATATTGCACTTAAACTATATTGTATATTAAAATGCATTGATTAAATTTGTAAAAGGTATTATAAAAAAGGACAGCTAGTATAAGAGATCTATGTCTTTTAAAATCCAATTGATACTGCATATTACCACAGAGATGGTAACAGATAAACAGATAGAGGGGTGGACAGAGCAGCAGACAGACTGAGCAAAAAGTGAGTGAAACTCACATTCTGTGAAAAGAAATCTCTGCATAAGCTCAAGGTTTGTTATTCCAGATATTCTTTTGTTCACAGAAATTTTTCTTTGCCTTCATCTCCAAAGCCTAGATTTTCATAGCAGTAAGTGGGCATCATGTAAGGTCCTTCCAATTGAATATGCAAGTGGAAATATTTCCTGAGAGAGACAGAGTTTGACTAAAGCTAATATCTAATTTATGGGGGCATTTGTCAAGGAAGATCCACTTTTCTATTACTGCTAAAAGTCTGACAGCTTTTGGTTTAGAATCAAGGACTTAGCAGCATTTAGCTAGACCTAAGTGAGGTCTTCTTTTTTTGCATTTTGTTTCAAATGAGAATAATTTTATTTCTCTAAAAATCACAAATGAGCAAATATTGAGTAAAGGAAACATTACTTTAGTAATTACATATGATTCATCAGAACTCTGCGCACCAAAAATCCATAGTCCATTTTTATTCCAAACTGAAGCTGATTTTCTACTGAGGGAATTTTACATTTTAATTTTTGAAACACACTCACAATTAAATATTTTGATCAAATCTTCCTCCTGAAGATACTAAGGGGTGTCTACATACCCAAAAGAGGGGCTGAGCAGTAAATTCTACTGCAGCTTTGCATATCCCCAAACTACTATAGAAGAAAATACTATAAAGCATACTGAAGCAACTGTGCTTTTGAAGCACAAAGACTGAAATTCAAACTGAATCCACTTCTGACTGAATGTACCTCAAACACTCCAGCACCTCTGCGTGTTTTGTTGGAGTCCTGCATTCCCTTCAGAAGGATTTCATTAAGAACATGAAACTTGCATTTCAAGTTTTATCAAGATGAAAACACTTTGTGTCAAGACTTATCATGACAAACACATTTTTTGTTAGTTTTAAAGGAGACGAGGTATTTCTTCTTGTAACATCTGCTTACTTTTTATTCAGAAACTCTTGAAAAAAAATCCACTCTGTGTCCCAAAAGGGATGTGAGTCTGGTGAGATAAAGGGTATCTAGAGTTACACTGAGTTGTTCAGCTTAAGTAACTAAATTAGATAATGTTCAAGGTACTCGTTAAACCGAAATGAATTTTGTCAAGAAGAAGCTGACCACAATATATAACACTCACCAGCCACATATTGTATTATTGAGACCACCACAGGATTTATGAACTCGTGGAGGGCGTGGGGGGGAAGCTGTTCCAGCATCCTCTGAGGCATTTATCTTATGTGTTGTCTGGATATCATATCACCTTCTAATGCTCTTTAGCATTGTAATACAAGAGAGAGCTCATTCATCTTCTGAGAGGGTACTTAGGGATGATGATGTCATTCATACTTCCTTGACTCTTATGTCTGACCTCCTGCCTCTGCCTTCTAACTTCCTACTCTCATGGCTACTTGCAAGAAAAACCTCCTCTGCAGACTCAAAATGCTCAGCATCAGACTCCAGTTCACTTCTTCACCTTGGAAAGGTCACATTCTGAAATTTCTAGTCAAAATCACAGTCATTTGTGCTCAAACTTTCCCTTTGGTTTTCAGTTGGTGAAACAATAAATGTGATAGTTAAGGACATGGGTCAGAAGTAAGTTTTAAACTTACACTTATATGCATTATATTTTAAAAGATAAAATTGTGAACACCTCTTTCTAATGTAAAGGCAAAACCAAGAGAGACATTTACAAGAATGCCAAAGATCTAAAATCCCAGACATTGAGCTTGGTACA